GAACGTTGTTCACGCCGATCACTTTTGCCAAGAAAATTCTCGATCATATTGCGAGTCAATATATATCGATATCAATACAATAAATAATTACACATGCGAAAGTAAACACGATTATGTATGCACTGAAATCGGCCACTGGGCCGGCTTTATTATATAAAAATAAAATATACAATGTGCTATTCTATATAAAGTAAATTTACAGCGCTTTATTTTTTCGATCTTTTTTGAGAACTGTTTACAATGCCCTGCAAATTTACAATGAGTCCATTCTAAAAATTGTGAATTTCCTTTATATTAGCAACATCACACGATAAACATATATTTCAGTAGAGTTAAAAGAATTCTTACCCGCAAAATTAATAAAGCATGGACGAACTCTTCTACTTCTTCAACCGTTTCTTTGTCCAACGGTATTTTCGCTTTAATAATGGGGAGATAATATTTTACCCCCTTTTCCTTTATCAAGCCGTGGATTCCAAGATACTTACCCGCGATATTAACAGCAAATCCTATATAATTTTTATAAAAGTTTTCTTTCGAACACTTCTTTACAAGCTCTTTGGATCCAGCTATACAGAATTGTGTTAATTTATTATGATCGTGAACCATCTTATCTTCGCCAGCACCCCATTTCCCGCCTTCAAAGAATATAATTTCTTCCCATTTCTGGCGAAGATAAGCACGAATCATAATATCAGGTTTATTGCCTCTCGATCCGGTTTTTTGATGAATCTTCCAGTTCTTACTGGCTATACTTTGCCGTTCAGACCTGGTAACTTCAACTTCAAAATCCACGGGCAAGTGATACATAGTCATATCTAATAGACGAGAGATGATCTCCACCAATGTATTTTCTGAACCCTCGGAAACTCTTCGAAGCGCATTCAGCTTAATTTCCTGTAAAAGAGCATTAGTAATTCCATTTGCTACGAGTCCCCTAACATGATCAGCTTCAACCCATTGATCATGTGTCACAATTTCTCTTGAAGCCAACACAAATTTCCGCGAATTTTGAACCTCATTTCTTCTTGATATAAACTCGTAACAAACTTTCTTCACTGCAATATCTTTATTTAGATTTCTTATCTCAGTCTTCTCTCCCTATTAAGATCAATATATAATAAGTATTTTTTTCTATATATAAAATTCATACATAGGCCTTTATAAATGGAAAATGTAGATATTATATACGTACAACGAGGGATTTGAAATTACTTTCTGAAATATTATATTTATTCGAACTAAGATCAATAATTCCAATGCATAATGGGTCATCTTTTGATAGTTTATCTACATCTATATTGCTTATTCTTGTGAATATATGTTCATGTGCCGGTGATTCTTCCTCCTAGTAGATTAAAAAGTTAATTTTATAGAAAAGATCAAATTAGATACTAGCTTAAAAGTCAATTTTGTAAAAAAAATCAATTTGGATAAGAAATTACCTCGATTTTATCTTTCAAAAGCGATATACTGTTTAGTGCTAAAGCTTTCCAATCTACCTCTTCTTGGAATTTCCCCCGTAAGAACCCCATATTTTTCAATGATACTAACTCGTTTCTAATAAATAGTACCTATAAAAATAAAGATAGGTTAATAAAATTCAGAAAAACATCATTATTTTTTTTGCGCAAATTCCTATCCTAATCAGAAATAGCCGGACCGGCATTATTGTCCAAAAAGTCATCATAATAAGTATAATGAAAGAGATTCTCGCTAACAATATGTCGCTTTTTCAATCTCATTATACTTATTAATGTCTAGACATTATATTCACATCATCTTATTCTTAATATACAAATATCAAAGTGATAAAAAATACCTGATCACTATTTTGCAAGAATTTTTTAAGATGTTGCCTACGTTCTCCATTATTAATTTGACTGACCGTTTCTTTTAGAATTTTTTTGAAGCATTCAAGATCATCTTCTTCTGTTTGAACTTTGAAGCAATTCCACTGCTGTGTAATTATGTTGGAAATAGTAATTTTATCAGAAGATGCGGTTTTTAAGAAGTCATATAAAGAGGCGAAAATTTCAGTTGACGGAGTGGATGAATTAGACATGTTTTGTATTGTTAATTTGGTGTAGAAAAGATATTTTAGTTTCGATGATAGAATAACGAAATAAAGCCAAATCACTAATAAGCGACAAATAACAATAAATTCGAGATACCGCCCTTTTATATATTTTTTTTATCTCTTCCCTGAAACTCGAAATGTTAGATAGGTTAGACAGAAGCAAAAACATGCACTCTTACATCGAAAATTTCTACGA